ATTCTCAACGAGGGTTAAATTTACCCTTGGGGGTAAAAAATTATATGGCAGGGGTAAATAATTGATGTACCTGATGATTGAGTAATAATTCAATTCAATTTCATTTTGTAAAATGTGTGTGTGTGAGAGAGAGAGAGAGAGAATGCTAAGAATGTGTGTGTGTGTGCAAAAGCGGAATAATATTTTTTTTTCTGACCTTCTTGTTTTTCTGTCCCTTTATGATGGCTATGAATTTTTTGTATGGAAGTAAGGGAGGGGGTAAATGGAGAAATACATCAAGCCGAGGGGGGTTAATGATGGAGGAAAAGTTGAGAATCCCTGTTCTACACTCTATTTACAAATATGTTGTCTAACAACTGCACAGAAAGTTTGAAAATTCATTTGAATATACCTCAGTAGAAATATATTCTTTTCTAGTTTATTAAAGAGTGAAATATTACAGTTTTTCAACTGTGACATAAACACACAAACATTAATGAACTACTACCAATAGTATGAAAAAGTAGTGTTGAGAGAGTTATGGATTTTCATAATTTTTTTTTTCAATCTTATGAAAAAAAAATTATTTTGAAACAAACCTTACTGCACATCCCATTATCGTGGTTTAGTGCCTGAGCTATTGGTTTTAAATGTTCTTTAGCATACTACTTTGCCATAAGAACAAACAAGACTTGAACTATGATGGTATATTTCCTAGGTTGAGTAAGAGAGCATTTTCCTCAACTTTTTCAGGACACATACCAGAGTCTGATGCATTTTATGATTACATTTTTTTGGGAAACATCCCAAATTATTTGATCAGTTGTATTAAAATTTTAATCCTGGTTTGATTTTTTCAATACAGAGAAACCAGTTAAGTTCCAGCCATATTGTGATGATACTTGAGCATGCATGTGGAGTGGGTGTGGTCTAGTGATTAGCATGTCAGGCTGTGGATCAAAAGGTTCAAGCTGTGACTTGCCACAGAAAATTCTCTGCACTTTCAGCTGTAGGGGTGACATTTTCATGATAGTAAAACTGAAAATAATGTCTGCTATTCAGTTAACTCTCTCAATACTGGCTCATTCAATTTGACTGACCACGTGACCTCTTTGTACTCATTTAAAGTCTTTATAGATTTAAAACTTCTAACTTTCAATATAGTGTGTATATCTTCACAAAATTTGGAAGTGTTTCAGTTCATATTATAAGTCTTTCACATACAAAAATTCATTTTTTTTAGCAAAGTATATTTAGTAAAATAAAATAAAGATTTGTCCATGAATATTTGAGTATTTGTTTTGAATAGTCCGTGTGCAAAGTAATTTTCATGT